GTAATAAATTTCGATAGAGATCAGTGGTCCATAGCAATAAATAAATTAACTGTTTTTAGTGACTGGAGAAGTGGTAAAAAATAAATATATTTTAGTTTTATTATTATTTTTTTTCACTTACACAAAATATTGTATGTGCAGCTGGTAGGGCTTTAGTTATGTAAAGAGTTCTCTTAATTAAATTTAACAAAAATCACAGAAATGTATTTTGAAGGCTACCATACTCGTCCAGTGGGTCACTTTAAATTGCATGACACGAAACAATCAGTGTTGCAGCGATTTTTTTTTAATTGACACACACTATATAGCAATCCATATGCTGAGGGAAGCTTTTAAATTGAATTGTTATGAATGTAGAATCAATAGCTTTTAAAAATCCTTTTCTTTCTTTATTTTTTAAGTCAAGACACATTTAATGGATTTAAAATTAACGCCTACATACATATATTGTATGTATAAATTTGTTTTCGACAGCAAATTTAACAGTATATAACGGCTGTAGCTTGTCAATTGTCAACATTTCCGTGTGTGTCGCAATGCAGCCATGTAGATTGCGCAAACTTGCTACCTGGTAGAAAATTTATAGTAGTCACGTGTTGCCTCCTTCTATGCAGACCACATGTATGAACATATGTATATTTAACCAAATGTATTCAAAAATATAGCATGGGCTACATAGATATGTACATACATATGTGAAAGTTAAAAAGATGTGATGCAAAATGCATACGAAAATCGCATGTAACACGCCAACGTCCAAACAACAGGCAATTTACTTGCCCCAGAAATGTTGCATAAACAAGTATTTTAAGTTTTGGCTTTGCTAGTACCAGCAATTTTTGATGAAATATGTTTGTGTTTCTGTGTAGATCCATCAGCATACGCAAATTGGTAGTTTCAAGAGCAGTTTGGAAATTCGAAATAAGTTTATTAAAAAATCGATTTATGCACATATATAGGTATGTATGTGTATATAATTTTCCATCCAACTTTAAGCTTAATAAAATTAATAAAATTTACAACCAACATACGACTTTTATTTAATCTCAAATTGATTAATTGTACATTTTGTCGCAATCAGTCATGTACCAACCAGCAACAGTTGCATAATTAATTAAAATGAATTCATAAAGTCAATAAAATGGTAAGTTATCAGTTATTTTAAAAAATACTTGAAAATTCAGGAAACTTAATAATTATATGCATATTTTAATTTCTGATAACATTCCATTGAACTTTTTCGTTACTACGCGAGCGAAAGCTGTAAGCACAGATTAAAAAAAAAAAATTAATAACAAAAAACAAATGCGAATTGCAGCTGCTGAAAGCGTGTGAAAAATAATACCAATTCAATATATGCAAGTACATATATGTATATTTCCATAATATAATCTATGTATTTACATCTATGCACATTTCGGTGTACGTGAGCAGATCATTTGAATTATGAATGTTCACTAAATGTTTATAGCGCGCCATTAATGGAAGTGTTAAATTATTTTTAGCACTACATATGTATGTATGTTATAATATTAAATGTCAGCAAATATAAACATGTACAAATTTGTCTTACGCATAATATTTAAACAAAATATAAATAAATAGTAATAAAAATAATTTTGCACATGCAAATGGGAAGATATTTGCTATAATTACTGCTAAATAGGCACAGCGAAATTAATTTAAAAATATGTTTAGAAATAATAAGAGATTAAATATGGTGTTATCAGTTTTAAACAAATATTTATATATGCATTGTGAAATAGCACAAGCTTAGGTCAGTAGGGTTAAAAATCATGAATCGATCAGCTGCAAAAAATGGCTATTGAAAAATCTTTTATATTCGCTGTTATTTAAATATGTATATTCATGTATATTTACAGATATTTTTGACAAAATTTTTTTTTTGAAGTTGCCATAGCAAAATAATATTTAATTGCATACTTTATATATTTGTCTGACCATTGAAAAAAAAACTTCAGTTACTTGTTTGCCAAAAGGGGAGTGACCTACCGCTTTTCCTAAGCCAACACCAAACCGCCGATGAATTTTCGCGATGAGCTTTGATTGTCATGTGAGTAATTTCGCTCGAAGGGCTTTACATATCCATACGAACGCAATTCGAAAAATTATTTTTGTACAATTTTGAATGTTGGTCGAAACTTAATTCGAATCCTGGCTTTCCGAATGGCAGTACGAAATGCTAAGAACGCGGCTATTGGGGCCTTTGTAAGCACTATTCATAACTCACAATATATTAATTTTTATATAATATTTGTGTTTTATTATGACGCTGAGGCAATTAAAGACGTTTATTCTATGGAGTCAACAAATAATGGCACCACATTGCGGAATATGCAGCATGAATTTACTCCTTAAACATCATTCATGAAAGTAAGACATAACAAAGTCTTACTTTAATATTTAATTGCGCATTAGACATGGAATTATACTATTGGAATTTATATAAGCCACCGTATGTGTGTCGATCATGCAGCGGCAACAAAGGAAACGTGCTAAATAAAAATATATATATATGTCTGTTTATAGGTACATATCAACAAAGTAGATTATTTAGTTAATTTGCAAAAGTCAAGGAAATCAGTTTAACATTTGACAACCCTTCTATGTCAATGAGTTTTTAATGCATGACTGGAATATATGTATGTATAAGAGCGAAATATAACATTATTTAGAATAATCAGTTAAGAGTACAAATGTATGTACATACAACAAAGTCACGTACCATTTCATTAGATATTTAGCACTGACTTTGTCAACAATAAAGTTTTCAATTATAAACTTTGCCTTCACTGATAGTGGAAATTATCTTAATTCAATTGAAATACAATACTATAAAGTCACACACATAAAACCGTCTTATGCATCGCTATATAATCATTATATTGCAGGCGGTTATAATGCCACATAAACACAGAACTTTTAACTTTTCAACGCGAGCGCAGCGGGAGGTGACAAGACCGCCTTATTCGATGGGTGTCTAGAAAGTTTCATTGTATTTTGTAATGATTATCCATATACATACATATCGACGACGAACCAGAGGTTACTATTTTGAAGACACGGCGGCCTTCATCAAACAGCTTTGTGCACCCTTTGTCCAGAAAACAGCTGCTTGCTTTGTCCACAATTGATTTTAACCTTGTTTATACATACTTATGTTTGTACAAATATATGTATATATTAAATCCAAACAACCAATATTGTCCTCTAATATACATATGTATATCACAAACTTACCTCAGATGGCGACATTGATGACATCTTCCTTACGTATATACGTGTGTTACGTTATTTGTGTATTTATTTAGTCTTGTGAAATGTGTGCTAAAGTTAATTTTTCTTAACGTATTATTAGTTTTTTAATCAAATTTCTTAAGTATATTTCAATTGTTGACAATCACGAAAATTTTGCCATTTGACAGTTTACTTTATTCTACCGATATCTGGAATAGCGATGTGCAGGTGCCATACAAAAAAAGTCGATAATTTGAAGGCGAATTCAAAGAAGGTGCCCCTGGCTCGTTTAAAGAATAGAATTTATGCCTTTGTAATATTCTCTCATTCCATTATCAATAATCTAATTGTATGAATAACAGTGAAACCGATGCAATGAATATTCCCCTTTTGTGTAAAGTAATTTAAAAAATTTCGTATTTGCTTTCGAAATAAAACAATTCTAAGACAATAGAAAATTCGTATTTTGCCCCTTTAGGTGTTTTATTTAATAAATGCGGAAACTGTTTTGTTGGTGTGCAAATAAATATATTTTACATTGTAACCATAACAATGTAGATTTTCTGCGCTGTCCCCTTCCTTTTCAATAAGGAGGTTATAAAAGTTGCCAAAATATTTGATTTTTGTTTATAATGGAATTGCTGGTTTATCTATTCAGATTGAGATGAGCTTCATAAGTTTTAACAATAAAATAGGTTTTAAACAATACACACTGGTAGGTTTAGTGGGGATCCGCAGAGCTATACTGCTAATACTGTACCACTGACCTTTGCTTGCGCGAAATATTCAAAGAGAACGAGATCCGGAAAGTCCTAGTCGATTTAGTCAAATAGACTCCTCACTTTAGGCTTGTGCTAAAACTTTATCCAGTTGTTCCGCGTTCGTTTCTTTTCAGCCAAGAAATTCCAAGTCTTAGTATTCCAGTTTTTTGTTCTACCGGTTTTATTTATTTTTCTAACAGTATCAAGTAATTCGATATTTAAAAAAAAAAAAAAAATTTTATTGATGTACTCTTTTCTGTAAAATTCAAAAATACACCAAAAAATTTGATTTACTAACTTTCCAACGATGTCGTTACTTTCAGCAGTCGCGATCTTATATAGCTGTAGTCTGCTCCGGTGTACCTCTTAGAGGTTTGAATGTTCTCGAAAACGAATTTTCGATGCATGCTTGCCTGGAACAAGCTTTACTTATCGGCCTCACCTATGCTTCTCACATATTTGGTATTCTTGCCATTGTATATTAAAAAAGTATTAAATTTCTTAATCAACAAAATTTCTCCAGCATTTCTTGAACTTTTCTCTTATGAAGTTTTCCTTTTTTTTTAAGAGCTTAGTCTAGCTTAAAAACAGAATTCGATCTTCAACATTCGTGTTTTGTGTTTGGACGGCAATGGCAAATCGAACGCAATTTAGAGTTCTCCAGAAGATTGTAAACTGTTTTGTGGTTACAAATAAAAGACAACGAGCAGGCAAATTTGTTCTGTAAAATATCGATATACTTGCCTATTATAGGCACAAATTGATTGCTTACTTTGTTATAACAGCTCTGGAAATTGCTAACCGCGACATCAGGCGGATGATAGCAATTAATGCGGATTGTCCGCTAACAGTGTTGCCCGCGCGTAGCAACAGCAGTAAGTAGTAGAAATGGTATATAATAGGTAAGAATGAAGACATTCGGCATAATTTAATAATTTTATATTTATTGTATTGAATCTAGATCTGAAAAGAGATTTATTTTTTTTTATATGCTTATCACTATTTTAAATAATCTAAATACTAAGTATTTGAAGAACGGTATAGCCTTACAATTTATCTCTATTTAATTTATAAGAAAGATTTTTTATAAAATTCAAAATGCATTTCATCAAAAAAAATTTTTTTTGCTCGCAATCATAAAAAATCTTCACAACTTGCTATTTCCAGCCAACAGATCTCTTGCGAGCTTCACCGCATACTTAGCAGTGCCGGGCGATGTGGTAACACCATAACCACCATGTCCATAATTATGAACCACTTTCTGAGTGCGACCATTAGCCAAACGGAGTATTTCGCTTTCCACGCGCACCTAGTAAATTAAAGAAAATATTATGTATTTATGTATGTGTATAAGCACAAAAATATACTCACCACAGCACGATGTGGACGCAATCCCACACTCTCGCGTACTACTTCGGCACGTTTCAGGCTCGGCAACATGCCATAACAACGATCCTTGATAGCCATCGAATCGTATTTACAAACATTTAAATTATAACTGTCATATTGACGACAACCACCAATAGTGACCGCCTCGAAACCGGGCAGAATGTATGTGTCATAATCTCCATAGAAAGCCAGTTTCACCCAAGGTGCGCGCACTTTCAACACCTGACCACGCATCGCCACGAGTTGTTGGTCATTGCATAGTTCTCTAGCTCCCAAACCGGTACAGTTGAAGAGTAAATCGAAGTTTTGCTGTGACACTTCGGAGAAGGAGTTGACGTATTGACGTGTCACCTGACCACCAGCCGCAATGAATCTGGGTGGAGGGTGGAATTTTGTTAGTGAATATTTTGTATAAAAAAGACTTCTAAGTCTGAGGTGAGTTGTCTATAAAGGCAATTTTGAACTTATTCGAAAATGACTATCTTGAAACTTGAAAAGATTTATTCATATTTATGACTCTTAAAGGAACCTCGTTATGAGCTTACGCTGGAATTCAATTATTTCCTTTAGGGAATGTAGAGCTCTGCATTGAATAGGTATTTCGGTTCCTCCGGTGGGACCAAAATAACATAAATATCTTGTCGTTTAGGGTAGGCAGTGAGGTCATTTGAATCCTTTTGTTTTCTATCAAAATTTTGGTTCGGAAGCTGTACGGCCGCCACAATAGCCGAGTGGTTGGCAGGTGGACTACCATGTAGGGGAGGCCATGTGTGCGAATGCTGGCCAGAGTAACATCCAAAGTTGTAGAAAGTAAATTTTAAATAAATTCCTGTCGTCCCTTAGCAGAGATTATTAGCTCCCCGGACTGTGACGGACCAATCCATCATCTGTTAGGAAACGGTTTGAAAAAAATGTACGCCGCTCCATTTGTTCGAAAAACATCAAGACGTGAACCACAAAGTAGAGAAGAAGCTAGGCCAGCCGCTTTCTGCATCTGCTGGTTCAGTGGGAGCAAGTGGAGGGGTCAACAAGCTCTGTAACTATACTCTATATAGGGAACTTATCTTATCTTAATACCCGGTGGAAGCAGACCAGGTAGAGAGAAGCTTGGCTCTACTTGGTGCGGATTTGTCTGCTCCAGTAGGGTTTGACTTTGATCTTGGTTTCCCTGTTCAGGCATATTCTGGGACACGGTTACCAAAAACCGAATAATCTTGCTGGAATTGATACTGCCGATAATCAAACAAAGAGCAGGTGGAAATGCCTTTGCACTTTAAAAGGTTTTCTTGAAGAGAATCAAGTGGAAGACTTTTCTTGAAAAGATGAGTTTCCCTCAGGCTCACAGCAATTAGTTGGAAGTCAGACTTGCGCTCAAGATCCACTGACAAATATTTAAAGAGCAATATATATGAAAGCTGGCCACGCAATTTGACTACTCTATCAGCTACTTACCCGAGTCCTCGAATGTAATATTCTTAAAACTTACTTTTTAGTTGCATACGGCAGGAAGAGTCGGCACTCGGTCAGGCAGGTGGTAAAGAAAGAACCATATTTCCAATCGCCATTGCACAGTTTCAACTCCTCCTCGCTGGCTTGGCGATAAACTGGCAACAGTTGCTCGATATATTGGTTCTAAAGACAATAAAAATAAACCATAATCATAAAGTAATTATAAAACGCTATCGAGACAATGAAAATCGCTGATAATGAAAATCACAAGCAGCAGCGATTAACTTTCGAACACAACCAATGAGAGACAGTGAGATCTCAATTGCAATAAAGTAATTTTTTAATTGCATTTCACCTACCCGCACAATCTTCGGTGAGGTGGAAGAGAAAATATAGCCTGATAGCTGACACACGCCAGCAAGCGGTGCCTCCTTAGAACGTCGGATGTCATCCCAATAGTGAAAAGCATCGTTGATCCATTGTCTGTCAAATGGCAATTTAATTTATTATAATATTATTCATTAAATTCTATATGAAATTTTTGGAAAGCTTTACTGTGTAATCTCCTTGCTTGGTCCAGTGAAGCTTGTGCCTGGTCTGAATATGCCCGCGGCTACATGACTCGTCGTGTCTTCATTAAAACGATCGGCTAGTATGGTTATTTGCGCATTTGGATAATTTTGTTGCAATTCTAAAGCCGTGGTGAGACCCACAACGCCACTGCCCAAGATGCCGAAATGCATAATTATAGTAATAGTATTGAATATCACAATTAATTTATTTTAAAGATAAACCACACACAGTCCAGTCCGTACAACTTGATTCGCGTTCAGCTACTGATCGGGAAATTAGTAATCATATCACTTTTGGGCAGCCACAAACAGCCAGTTCATCAGTGTGTGTGTGGTTTGTTTTTATTTATTCCGATGTTGTGCACTTGCTTGTGTTCACATGCTGTTGGAAAATAACAAAACGATCAGAAAATATACTAGTTCATCACTAGAATTTCATGACTCATTCCGTACCGGTCCGAAAGGTAACAAACTGCTACAAAAAAAAATGTATATAACAAAAATTTAAATCTAGGAGCTAAAAAATGATTGTGCTAAATGAGTTTTACTCCTGAAATTATTTAAGATAATAAATTAATTCTTGTTAAAATTTAGAAAGGTGTTTTTTTTTAGACATGTGGTTTTCAATTGGAGCCAAGAATTAAACTTATTTAAATAAGGCGGCCGCGGTAGCCGAGTGGTTAGCGTTGCGTACTTGGAAGGCTCGGGTTCAAATCCGTGTGCGACCAAAAATTATAGATAATTAATTTAAATAAAAAATTAGGCAGGGAATGTCAACCCCTCCGAGTGTATTTATGACATGAAATAAAGGCTTGTCATAAAAAAACCGTCAGCCGTTCGGAGGCGGCTCCATTTGTTGAAAAAACATCCAGACGCAAAACCATAATTTGGAGGAGGAGCTCGGCGGAAATTCGCTTCAGCGGTTACAAAGCGCCAATTATATAACTAGATGCTTGATGCTGAGTGACCCAAGCTCCACAAGACAAGCGTCCACGGCACAGGTACACTAAGGTTACCTTTAAAAAATTGAGTGTTTCCTTGACTGTATGGCATGGAGGCGCTGTCTTGTTGTTACCGAAGTTCTTCCACATCTAAAACCAATTCAGGCATCAAAAAATCATTAATCATGGCTCTGTAGTGCTCTCCATTGACTGCAACATTATGGCTGCCTTCCATTTGTCCACAGAACAAATCAAACAGTGATTTTTTTAGGATGTGAAATCGGGATCAGAGGCCATCTCATTTCTGATGACGTGCGACGCACATGATCCAGATCCTTCTGTAAAATCTGCCATAAAGTGAAAGTACACATTTCCATTTTTTGCGGGCGATGGACGATGGACTCATTCAGGTAGTCTTCGACACTCTGCCAAAACGGCCAACTTCCAAAAAAGTGTTACCTCATTAAAACCTATTTTGTGATAATAATTTCTGGATTTATTAAGTAAAATTTCATAGAATTGCGTTTGGTATAAAAAATGTCTAGTTTTTATATTAAACAAATTAACAAATACTTCTTTGGTCCATTTTTAACTAGCAAAGAAAGTGGTAGATTTCTGACTAAAAATTTATTTTAACATTAAACATTAATTGTCAAATTTGCATTCAAAACACCACCCGCTTGTCCAAAGAAGGTGGGTTTTCTGACTAGTTGAGCCTACATGGCGCAAATGTACTAGTTTCGATATAGTTATTAACTTGTTCAATTGACTGCTTGGCAATCATTGTACGTTCTCACTCTCTCGCTCTCTGTTTCGGTTGCATAGTTTATTGTGTTTATTTGTGTATTTACTCTCAAGATGTCAAAAGCGCTACACAGTTGCTCTCAGCTGCATTTTTTTGATTATCCGAGACAAATACTTTATATTTATTTTAATCTTATCAGTGATAGACCACTCGGTGGCTTATTCATACATACTTTCACACATATTTTTTTAAAATATTTTTATACATATTTAAGTGATCTTTGTTAGGTGATGGAGATACCTATAATAATATTAGCGAAAAAAGAAAATTACTCTATGGAGCCAGTTTTCACTGACACTTCCAAAGTCTTCTTAAGTTTCCCAAAACACACGTGTTTCAAACCTGTTAAACTTTAATTTTTCTAGGCAGAGTTAACTGGAAGTTTAAGATTCCAGTCTAAAGGCAGATTTAGTTAGATGTCGCCTCTCGGAAGGGAGTGTCAACCCCTCCGAAAGGACTTCTGCCATGAAATAAAGGCTCCACATAAAAAACCATTAGGTGTTCGGAAGCAGCTTAGTATAAACTGTAGCTCCCACCATTTGTTGGAAAAACGTCAAGACGCGAAACTAAAAGTTCGAGGAGGAGCTCAACCGAAAACCGCTTCAGTAGATACGGCCATTATATACATAAGAAACTCACCAAAGGCTGCTGCAGCCAATCTGCTGTGAGGGGGGACAAAATAGATCACATATTGCCACGCCTTATACGGTAAAAAAGGTTTCAAACCAAAGAAAAAGAAGACGTCTTATGACGGGGAGTCAGGAATTTACCTTGTAGTGGAATACGTACTAAACAATTGAAACGAAAAGCTTGAGAGATGGCCCCAAGATATTCAAAAATCTTACAGACTATTATTATTCTACCAGACACAGAATTGAAACATTGATGTATACACAGACAGTACAGGTAGAGTGGGAGGAGAAGTTTGGTCAATCGACCCTTTACTGAACCTCACAGTGCTTCAGTACCATTTTAGGAACATAAACTCAGGAATAGTCATATTTAGTCAGAAATTAAAGCTCTCCAGGAGATAGCTGAACGGATCTCTGTTTCCAGAGATAAAGGGGAGAACTACAGACCACACGAACTTAATAGGCAAGGTAAAACTTAGTTGATTTTTAAGGAAAAGGAACGCATTGGTATGCCTATAGTCACTTGCAAAGAAGAGGAAGAATCTGTTCAGCACTACACGACATAAGTATCCAAGTGCTTTCACTGACTGGCTGACGTAGCAATGGCGAAATGCTTCCTACATATGAGAAGGTGAACCCCATGCGGTATCAAAAAGGATTTAAGTCCTAGCTACGCGAGTTTTTGCAAATCCTTTTAGGTAACTTTAGACCACTTTTTGACCCATTTTGGGTGGTGTAAAATTTGGTTCAAGAAATTGCCGCCCAATGCGGTTTTTTCAAGCATTCAATCGACATAGATACGGCGCTGTGAATGGTCAGCTGGTTTCAGTGTAGACTCAAGTGCAAAATCCCAATAATATGCCACAAAAAAGACTCAGCTCTTGAGATGGTCGAACAATAGTCACATTCGGGTCTACGGTTACAATTTCACTTATAGTACCAATATTTGAAACACAAAACATGTTTGGTTTGAAATATGTCAAAATACAGCCGCAATGCTTTCGAGCCTGCGAAATGGATTACTCTACGAAGTGTGACAATTAAGTAATGAGACTGCCATCCCCTCAAAGTAGTCCATTTGGATGTACCCTCTTCACGGACGTCTGGATGTCCTCAATTGACTCAAAATGGGATATTTTGACTACCATTTTTTTTTTAGGGAACAAAAAAAAGTCACAGGGATATATATCGGGCGAATAAGACGGTTGTTGCAACACGGCGATCTCTTTAGAGGCCAAATACTTGCACACAATGAGGGCAGTGTGGCCCGGCGTGTTGTTGTGTTGAAGGATCCAGTTACATGCGGTGTCTGGGCGCACCCTGTTAACTCGTTCTCGCAAACTTTCGAGTACTTGGCGATAGTAGATTTAATTTACGATTTGACCCGGTGGAAGAAATTCTTTGCTTTCAAAAAAGGCAAAAATCAAGCAATTATTCGGGCGGGGGGCATGTGTAGACAAACATTGTGAGCTTTGACGCTTAGCTTCCGGCATATATTGAAAAAACCAGCTCTTATCGTTTGTAATAACTCGATCAAGCAGCGCAAAATTTTATCGCGACGCGTTGCTCTTAGCTTCGTTTTTCCATTATCCTGACGAGCACCACGAACGCACGTTTACTCAACACGACACACCAGGCGAGCTAAGAACTAAGTTAGAGCGATGGCAAATATAATATATAAATGGAGAGGAGAAGGATGCCGGGAGAAGCGAAAGGGAATTTCAAGGTCGCAGGGTTACCACAATCGCGGCAATATAATCAGTCTCACTACTTAATTGTTACATCGCGTATTTAAATATATATATATATATATATATTGTGGTAACCCTGCGTATGTGTATGTATATCAGTTTCAGCATGGCTTCTCACTATAATTCATCATCAATAACTCATCAGTTAGACACTGACGCCCACACACAAAAACAAAAAGGTTCAATATGCGAAACTTAAGAATGTAGATATTGATAGAATTAGAATTGTATTTCACACACACTCACACAATAAATATACACACGTTTAGAAAATTATATAACATGAAGCAGAAGAAAATATCTTTACGTACACTTTTGCATAACACCCACCCTCCCTTATATGTACAATGCCAACATGCGTGCAAGAAGACTCGCCAAGTTCTTTTTCTCGCCTGTTTACCTTTGTTATCAACTATGTTTCTCTTCCAGGCGGAAGAACCAAACGGACTTAATGCGCTCCAATTCACTTTTTTCTATACAAACTTCCCACTCACAGTAGAGTCAGAGCATAGTCAAGTGGATAAGGTGAGGTGAAATGAGTAAGGAGATAGGGTGAAAGAGAGAGAGAGGGAGAGCGCGAAGCAGAGTGAAGTAGAGTGATGAGTGACTACTTTTGGATTCGTGTGACGTGATGTACGATATTTGACAGCTGTTTGAAGACGGTTGCTAAATATAAACCAACAATATGTTTGCTGCCACAATGACTGAATTTTAAAGCCTACTAACAGGCGTTGAGTGCCAGACTCAAGAATGTACGAAATAAAATAAATCAATTATTGACACGTAAGATAGGCAAATGTAGCAGTAGTAAATATAAATATTAAATATATTTACACATATTTATTTATTTTTATCTGTGTCTTAACCATACGCAGGTTTGTTTGTCCGCTGAACCAAGTTCATCTGTCACTTGCACACAGTTTGCCAGCGTCAGCAGACAGTTAAGGCGAAAATTTACGCATATTTCCGCTTGGCATATCGTGGGTTGGGCTTGGCACATCGTTGGTTGGGATTTGAGATACAAGTCAAGTCAAATGCCAGTATCAAGCGCAAAGAGAGCAAGCGGCTGAGCGTGTGAGAGAGCGTGAGTGCCTACTGACATATGCGTGTGACAGCGGTTTGCATGAAACTGATAAGAATCAGCT